AGTGAAACCTCAAATAACAGAATTTTGACCTAAAAAATGGCCCATAGATACGTCTAATCATCTTTAGAATATCCTGAAAGTTTCAGCGGAAAAAAATGTTTCTTTGTCAAGATATTAAATTATTACAAAATAATTGCTTGTGACACACATGGCAGAAAAGCCAGTTTACTCGAAAATTCAATATCTTGACAAGGAAACATTTTTTCCGCTGAAACTTTCAGGATATTCTAAAGATGATTAGACCTATCTATGGACCATTTTTGAGGTCAAAATTCTGTTATTTGAGGTTTCACTCAATATCGAAAAAATTGTCAAAAATTCAGTAAAGAGGTCATAACTCAGGTCCAAAGGTTCATGGGGACAACCCTTTTTAGTATTTTGCTAGTCTCACTGAGAGCTATTTGTGGGTCCAACATGAGCTCAAACGGCGGGTGTCATCTCAAATGGTTCCCTCGTGAGAGAGTGCATATGCAAAAACTCTATGATAGGATAGGAACTCTTAGGAAGCAAAAATCCGATGGTCGGCTCTGTCAGGAACTTCAAAAAAAAAGAACTGCCTATCGAAATCATTTACATTGATTAAGGAACTATTAATTTATGTTTTTTTTAGGAAGTTCCATCCAAGGAAATAATTGAAATATCTCGTATTATATCTTCGATTCGAATTTTAAATGATAATGATTCTGAACTGGTACATTTAATATCCTTCAATAGAATTATTTCTAATTTTTTTCATTTTAGACTGCTTCCGAATTATCTTTACTTCATTCTTATCGTACAGATTTATCACGTGCTTGTTCATTACTTGCAAGACATCCAACATTAATTGAACAATTACTTGCATTACATCCACAATTTGATTTACGTCGTTATTTTCTTTTAGAACAATCGTGTCGTGCTTACTTTACACATTTACAATTAAGTAATACAAGTACATATGGTAATTCAAATGAAAAGAAATCAAATAATACTGATGATGCATCGAATGTTCTTGTTACATATTACGTTTATTGCGTGCACTTCTTGTACGTTATCCTCAATAATTACGTACTATATTTGAAACACATCTTCTTAATATGTCAACTGTTGCATGGAAACGTCTTATACCCAGTGTTTTATCCAGGTTTCATTTTTCGGGTGGGTGGTTGAAATTTTTGGAGGGGCTGCTGGCTAAAATTTCTTCTCATATAGTAACGAGTGGCCTATAAAGAATGGCGGTCTCATTGCTTACTCAATATCTTTTTTGCTTTTCATTGATTTGAACTGAACCTTTTCCCAAAAGATTAAGCATTGAGTTCTCTAGAAACTCATGTGTAAAAGATTTTTTAAACTACAAAACGGCGAAGTACTAAAGCGAAGAAAAAAGGTTAAAAAGTCTTCAACTTTGAAGCTCTAAATGCATTAACATTTGGAGTATGTTTCGACAATTTATGCGAAGGCTTAAGTTACAGGAGAAACATTTTCTAGTATTTTCAAGTACGCTCTGCCCGATGTCTTTGAAAAAATTTCTTTTAAAGTGGCGTTCGCCTATTAAATCGATATTTTCTGAAAACTCGTCCATAACGTCTTAATTTCGGCTTTCAAGGAAACCTACTGCAAACGAAACTTTGCATCACTCGAACAAGTGTACAGGGGTGTAGTCGAGTATATCAGCTTTCAAAGAAAAAAATCATGAAAAAATAACGCTTTTTTAGTGAATGGCGCGCGTTTTCGGTTACTGGCAAGCATCAAAAACATGAAATGACGGGGTCGGTGGAAAAGGCAGATAGGGAAAACGTCGAAAAGGAAAATATCGAAAAGGCAAATATAGAAGGGGAAAATACAGACATTACAAAAGTCGAATGAAAAAAGTAGAAAAAGAAAAACGCCGAAAAGGTAAATGCCGAAAATTGAGTTTTTTGATAATTTTAAAGAAAAAGAAAAATTTATTTTCTAAATTGGTGCGCACAGATACGTCGCATCTATGTTCAATACAAGTCCAATACTTTTTTGATGAGGACGTTTTATTGCATGTGAACATATATTGGTTAAACACTAGTAATGGTTTACCTTTATTAGTCGTTAAGAATGATATTCCACTGTCCATTGCCAGCGAATGAAGAGAGAATTATTTGTTAGTTGTTTTCGCCAGACTGATTTATATATATATGGTATACGCTAACAACGAACAAGTATAGACTATAGACGAGGAGGACAACGAATTTAACTTATCCCACTAACAACCAATGCCAACTCAAAAGCAAATTTCGTTATCTACAGACATCTTTTTCATTCTACGTTTTCCTTTTCAGAATTTTTCTACTTTTTCCTCTAGCAGTTTTTCTTCGACACTTTCATTGATTATACTTTTTCATTTCGACATTTTTCATTCGACGTTTCCACCTTCTGCAATTGCCAATTTCGACATTTTCCTTTTCGGCGTTTTTCTTTTCTGCCTTTTCCACCAATTCGGAAATGACAGTTGGGTTTTTTAGAAAAAGCAAAAAAATTGATGCAGAATTTTTTACTCATTTTGGCATGAAAAAAAATTTCGAAGACATGAATCTTGCCCAGAACCTGACGTAGAGGCGGCGCCAGGAATTCAGACTAGGGTGGGCTCAGACCCTCTGAATTTTTACCAGGGTGGACTCGAACTACCTTAGTTCTGAAAAGCGAAAAAAATGAATGGAAAATTTCTCGAATTTTTGGGTTAGTCAAAACTGGTTCTTATTCAATGCTAAATAGTTCGCATGAATGTATAGAAGGCTTGGAGTAGTTTTCGATCGGGGTTGCCACCTCTTCCACTTTTTCACTAAAAACAAACTTTCTTTTCTTATTGAACAATTCTGCGTGCAAGAAACTAGATAAGATGCTACTCGATGAAAGTTTCTTAGAAAATAATTTTCTAACTCATAATTTTCTTGAATTCTAGTAAAATTTTCGCTTCGCACAATAGGTTTTCCAATAGATTTTTTCGTTAAAACACTTCCGCTTCATTTTGACTTCCAATATGAAATACGTTCTTCTTGACTTGAAATGCTATCGAATAACAAAACATTTCTTTCGAGTTCTTGTTCATCTGTTAATATGATAGATGAAAGCGAAGTCATACTCGACCGCTGTATGTACAAAATGATATTGTTCTCTTGGTTGTGTGAAAAGCAAGAATTATTT